GACGGGCGGGAGTCCGGCGAAGAGCGGCGAATCGACCGGAGAGACGAAGGTGGTACCCGCAAACGGGGGACAGACGCTGGAGTCTGGGGAGGGGGGAACGGCGAAGAGTCGGAGGGACGGGGCGGGATGTCCCGAGCAGAGGAAACGGGACAGAACGAGGAGGGACCAGATGTGCATGAAGCACAACGGAGGGCTTTGTTGTGTGGCCTGACTGCCTTGAGGCAGGGCCAGTTTGGACGATTATACGTGATAATCTCACGTCTACTAATTAGCAGGAGTAACTTCGGCGTAGTACGAATAGGTGGACTCACCGACAACGATCACACGCTTCGTCAACGCCAACCGCGACCCAACGTCCAGGCTCGGACTCCATCTTCTCCCACAAGTACTCTTCTTCCCGCAATGATCTCTTCACCCGTTTGGGCGAAGCTCCCCTCTGGGAGAAGGAGGGGGAGCAGCGACGGCGGCGGCGGCGGCAGGACGGGCGACGGCGGCGGCAGGACGAACGACGGCAGCGGCAGGGCGGGCGACGGCAGCAGCAGGACGGTTGGCGGCAGCAGCGGCAGCGGCGGCAATAGCGTTGGCGGGGGGGAGAACCCCGGAAGAGGAGGAAGAGGAAGAAGAAGAGGAAGAGGAAGAAGAAGAAGAAGAGGAGAGAGAACGGCGTCGTTTCTGGCCCACGATTTGGGCAGGGGGGGGGGACAGGAACGGCTGTGAGTTAGCAATGTCTTGGAGAGCTAAAGAACAGATAAACAAGGCCAAGTTCGGCGAAGGTGTGAGAGAGTGGACGAAGGACTCACGCTCAGGACTATCTACGTCGTTGTCCTCTACACTAATCACCTCCACATCATCATCCGGGTATTCTTCTAACTCACTTTCACCCTCACTATCAATCCTACCCTCCCAATCATCATCATCCTCACTTTCTTCGGTGTTGGGTCGATCACTCGACTCCGAGCCCCCACTGAGCGACTCCTGGTTGGAGGAGGACGGAGACTCACCAGGACGTAAGGCGGGCGTCCTACGGCGAGGGGTGGCGGCAGGAGGATACCCTCCGGGAGGACCAGATACGGGGACGGGAGAACCAGATACGGGGACGGGAGAACCAGACACGGGGGAGGGAGAACCAGCGGGAGGAGAAGCGGAGCAAGGAGGCGAGGCAGTGCCAGACGGCTCCCCCAGAGAGAGAGTGCCGAGGCCAAGGGAGGAGACTTGGCGAGATCTGTCGCCGAAAGAAACTAAACATCAGCCAAGTTCGGCGAGGTGAGGTGAGTATCGATGAAAACTCACGAGCAGATGACACCATACCACCAAAGTTCCTCATGGCGGCGAAAGGGCTGGGAGTGGGAGTAGAGGGGGCCATGACGTTAAGATACTTGAAAGAGAAATAAAACTCGAGGCGATTGTTCAAGGTAACAAATCTGTTTATTAGGTAAGAGAGATAGAAAGTTTTGAAAGCAGATGGGGAAAAGAGAGAAGCTCGACGAACTGCTCAGTATTTAGTATAATCAAACCTACCCCCTCGTCGTCAACATGCAGCAAACTTCGCGTTTCATCAACAAAAGGCAACGCAGGGACGATCAAAATTCCCACGCTATAGTGTCTCATCTCAATATAAGCGAGGGTTACTTCGACAAACAACAGTGTTGTTCGGCTACCATCCGGGAAGCGTGTCTCACCTACAAAAGACACAGGGCTTCTTACGGCAAATCTCGACGAAGTTAGGGGAGTCTCATTGTCGGGTTTTGAAGTGAAAGGAGGCTCAACTACGAAGTGCGGCGCGAAGAGCAGAAGGGTGAAGGATGGTTATGGGGAAGGAGAGAGTGGGGGTACTACACTGCTAAGTTTTCTTGCCACAGTAGAGGTGTAATCGCTCACGAGGACGTTCGCGGCTAAAGAAGGGGGCGACTGTCACGAACTACGTCGTGACACCTCGATTATTCCACCAACAATGACCCTCCTTTGACCATCAAAACCCCCATCACGCCTTAACCTCTTTACTCTACACGTAACTCAGGACTTCTGAGACCAAGTACGGCGAAGTTAGACGGAGTTAGGCTAGGTAGGGACAATGGGAGCAGAAGTACGGCGAAGTTAGACGGAGTTAGGCTAGGTAGGGACAATGGGAGCAGAAGTGCGGCGATGTTAGGCGGAGTTAGTCGAAGGAGGAAGAGGATGGCCGGGGACTCGGGGAAGTTGGACAAAGTGCGTTGAAGTACGTCAAAGCGCGAGAGGGTTGGATGAACGTCTAGGAGGAATAGATAATATTAGCTGAGAAGATCGCTGAAGTTCTTCAGCGATCCTTGATTGTTGTCAGTAGTGAAAGACAGATAGAGATAGCTATATACAAAGCGAGATACATCGCCATCAGTAGAACAAAAGCCCAGTTAGAGTAACTACGCCAAAGTACGCCGTAGTTACACCCCTTTCGACGTCTGCGCCCTCCCGGTTGGGTGAGACATCAATTCAGAAGCGTCAAGTTAGCCGAGGTTCGTCGACTGTCGGTCTGCCAGAAAGTAGTTGTTCGACGGCCGTGACACAGACATCTAGTCTCTTTGCCAGTACCCACACTTCCGTGGACAACCATGTCCATAGAGATATCTGGGGACCTCTACCAAAATTGACCGAGTTTGACGTGATTCTAGTGATAGTCGATCGACTAACCAAGATGGCTCGATTTATTCCATGTACAACAGGACTAACAGCAAACAAGGTGGCCCACTTATACATCAAGGAGGTCTTTTCAAAGCACGGGGTACCTCGAACAATTGTATCAGATAGGGGAACTCAATTCACAGCTGAAATTTGGAAGGAAATATGTCAGTTCCTGGGAATAAAAAACCTGTATTCAACGGTGTATCACCCTCAAACAGACGGACAGACTGAGCGAGTAAATCAACAGATGGAAATCCTACTCGGGATGTATGTGAACTACAACGTGGACAATTGGGATCAACTTCTACCAATTGTTGAGTTTGCCTATAACTGCTCTCCACATAGTAGTCATGGTTTGTGTCCATTCGAAGCATGTTACGGCTATGTGCCACACTACAACATCCATTTGCACGACATTCGATCGAAGTCGAACAAATTGGAGAAAAAATGGAAGGATATGGGAGAGTTACATGCGGCTGTTCAAGAACAAGTCAGAATTGCTAACAAAATTAGTGGGGAATATTACAACAGGAGGCACAAGAGTATTCTGTCACAATCGTTGTTTCTTCTCCTCTACTGACCAACGGTCGACAAACCTCGGCTAACTACGTCGTAGTGGGGCGTCGGTGTCTCACAGGGACAGGGTACTCGTCGGGGGAACTACGGCTAACTTCGCCGTAGTAATACGTCGAGTGGTAAATGATAAGATGATCGTCGATGAACTGCGGCTAACTTCGCCGTGGTACGTCGAACTGCTTGGTGGTAGCTCTCCTTAACTCGAAGGTTGTAGCTACTGAATATATCGCTCGCTACTGACAACAATCAAGGATCGCTGATGTCACGGCCGTCGAACAACTACCTTCTGACAGACCGACGGCCGACAAACCTTGGCTAACTTGACGCTTCTGAATCGATGTCTCACCCAACCGGGCGGGCGCAGACGTCAAAAGGAGTGTAACTACGGCGTACTTCGGCGTAGTTACTCTAACTGGGATTTTGTTCTACTGATGGCGATGTATCTCGATTTGTATATAGCTATCTCTATCTGTCTTTCACTACTGACAACAATCAAGGATTGCTGAAGAACTTCAGCGATCTTCTCAGCTAATATTATCTATTCCTCCTAGACGTTCATCCAACCCTCTTGCGCTTTGACGTACTTCAACGCACTTCGTCCAACTTCCCCGAGTCCCCGACCATCCTCTTCCTCCTTCGACTAACTCCGCCTAACATCGCCGCACTTCTGCTCCCATTGTCCCTACCTAGCCTAACTCCGTCTAACTTCGCCGTACTTCTGCTCCCATTGTCCCTACCTAGCCTAACTCCGTCTAACTTTGCCGTACTTGGTCTCAGAAGTCCTGAGTTACGTGTAGAGTAAAGAGGTTAAGGCGTGATGGGGGTTTTGATGGTCAAAGGAGGGTCATTGTTGGTGGAATAATCGAGGTGTCACGACGTAGTTCGTGACAGATGAAGAAGTTCAGCGATCTGCAACCTATCTATACTGCTCCTCTCTTCTCATAGAACGTCCCTCAACTCCTGCACAGCCTCGCGCTCAGTCCTCTTCACTCAACTTCACCGTACCTCGCCATATCCCCGACATCCTACTCTGCTCACTTCTACTAACTTCGCCTAACTTCCCTGCTCTGCTCTCCTTCGGTTCCCTTCCTCTAACTTCGCCGTAGTTCTCCCCGAGGCGGGGTTATCGTGACAAATACCCCCTTGGTTCTTGTAACTTCGCCGTAGTCGGTCTCAGTGGTTCGAGTGGTAGTTGGTGATGGTGAAAGGAGGGTCGGTGATGGTGGTTGTCAGGGATGTTACGATGTGGTTCGTGACAGTCACCCCCTCCTTGGGCGCGAACGACCTCGTGAGCTTTGTATGCATGTGGTGAAGAAAAGGACACTCAGCAGGTTGTAGGAAAACAATCGTTCATGTACCAACTGTTGGTAGACGGTACCATGGTTTGTTGGTAATGACCAGTCAACTTCGTCGAAGTTCATCGTGGTTGTTTGTTGTTACCCGTGGTAATTACGTTGTAAGTGAGACAGAGGATTTGGGTACAACAAACCTCGTCGAAGTTTGTCAGCGTATCCCTAACTTATATGAATGTGAGACACGTAGCGTGGGAATTTTGATCGTCGTCATGGTGTTTGTTGTTGCTGAGACACCTTGTTATGCGAAGTTACCAACGCCCTGACGACGAGTAGCCATGTCAGTTATACTAAATACTCAGTACTTCGGCCCACTTCTTCTTCTTCCCCAGGACTAATCCTAACTTGTACTATCATTGTCTATCAATTTCCAGCCTTTACCTTACCAAACATATCAATTTGATATATTTTAACAATATGAGCTCTCGTCCAGAATATGACGCCTACCAATCTTTCGAAGATCGCTTCTCCGCTGCCCGTAAGCTTACTCGTAATGGTCCCAGGTTGGGTCTTTGCTGATCATTCCAGTCTCTCAGCAGGGAAACTCTCCCCGCCAAGTGTCGTCTATGGGCTTTGGGGCCCTAGCCATCACCGATGGCTCGCCTTCTGCTGCTGCAGCTTCCGCTGCAGTTTCTTCTGCCACCGTGTCCCCCGTTGCGGTTACGACCCCTCTCTCCTCTGGCCAACAGGAGGTCAGACCTGCTCCTGTTGGCCTTTCGCACACGTCAGGCCGTACTGCCACTGTGGTAGAAATCGATGATGATGATGAGGAGATGGATGGTGACGAGGAGATGGATGGTGATCGTCGTGGTGAAGAGACGGGTGTGTTGGTTGATGATGGTGAGACGGGTGGTGCCGATGATGATGAAGAGATGGGTGAGGAGGAAGACGAGTCGTTTGACATTGATCTTGGTGACGAGGAGTTGTTCGAGGATAGGGATGGTTGGTTGGCCGAGCTAAGAGCCTTGAGTCGTATGTTCGCCGCTGTATAACCTGCTCGTGAGTGCTAACATGTCTAGCCGTCCGCGTCACCGAAGGATCTCCCGAGCTTCATGTGAAGATACTGGGCTCCAACGGTAGGAAGCGATTAGCCTACATGGCGAAGCTCGCCGAAGTGAAGTCCGAGAAACGTCGCCGTTCCCCTTCCGCCCACGACGAAGTAACCCCCCCTTCGGCGAAACGGGTCAAAGAGACCCCTCGGTCCTAGCCGTCCGCGGCACCGAAGGATCTCCCGAGCTCTGTGTGAAGATACTGGGCTCCAACGGTAGGAAGCGATTAGCCTACATGGAGAAGCTCGCCGAAGTGAAGTCCGAGAAATGTCGCCGTTTGTCACGACCCGGCTAACACAGTGTCGTGACTCATGACCCTGACACAAGGAGACACAAGGAGACACG